TTTTTGGTATGCTGTAATTTCGTCCCACTATGGCGGCCGTCACATTTAGTGGTGAAATTTAATGAAGACAATAATAAAAGAAATTATCGCCAATTTGATCAATTCATAGTAATGCATTCAAAAGTATGCATCATTATTCATCAAGTTAAATTTAGACGGAAATGCTGATTGTTACTGTAATTGTTGAAATGATGATTTTTTTAATGATTACCTTATGAAGCAAATATTCCCATATATAATTAGTTAATAATTGTAATAAATATTAGAAGGAAGAACTGATAAATTATAATTGCTGTATTTGTTATTCGTAATTTAATATTAATAATTCATTATCAATAAATTCAACAGCAATTGTAAAATCCATCAATGCTATATAATTTTTTAAACGGTAGTAATAGGGAATTAATATTTCATTTAACTAAATTATTTCATTTAACACTAATAATTTAGTGATAACGAATTCTTTATTTCATTCAACACCAATAATTTATTGATGACAAATTCGTTATTTCATTCAATACCAATAATTTAATGATGACAAATTCATTCTTTCATTTAATACTAACAATTTAATGATGACAAATTCATTGAATGATTAATTAAGTTGAGATCAATGCATATGGCATGTAAATTTATTATATCATGAAAAGCAAATGATTAATAATCACTTAGATTATCATGAATATTGATAATATTTTGATAATTATGATCATCCAAAGATTAATGAATTGATAAAACGCATATTATTATGATTATTTTAAGATTAGCGAGATTTATGCGGATTATTTCAAGGTTTTCAAGATTTGTCCTAAGTTATTCTAAGAATGATTTAGATTGTTATGATTGTTTTGAGATCAGAAAGATTTAGACTTATCATGCTTATTGTTAGATCAATATGATTTAAATATTTTCATGATTATTTTCTGAGTTCATCAAAACTTAATGATATAAATGATTGCGAAAAGAACTGATAAAAATAATCGATAAAGAAATGAAAGGCATTTTGCAAATTTGAATAAGAGAATTGCTATCGGGGAAAGAAATAAAGCGGGTTGGGAGAAGTGGAAATGATTTATTTGTTGAACGGATATTTGCCTGTATGACAAAAGAAGATCCGAATTGTGTTACATTTCTCAAATTCCTGAATGTTATTGTTCGATTTGCTACTGGTATCAAAATTGTATTATTTTATAAAATTTTGTAAAAAGATGAAAAATCTGATTGCGTCATGAAACAGGGAATTTTTTTCCGCTTTCCGTCACGTTATTCCGATCATCAATTTCATTATAGGAGAACAGAAGTTAACATTGAAAGAGACAATTTTAGGATCGGTTCGTGATAAACTTGAAGTGCTGTTCAATATGTGTGATCGAGAAGGACAAGGAAGAGTGCGCAAGAAGGAATTTTGTGATTTTGTCAAATCATTAAATGTAGCAGTTGGAGTGAAAATTGAGGAAGCGTTACAAGATGGAATAATTGATCGAGTGTTGCAACGATCTGGAATCAGTGCGGATTCTAAATTTTTATCTCACAAAGATTTCGAAGCTATTTTTAATAACGTAGATGACATACGACATCCGATTGGAGTACATATGCGTGGTGCAAAGTTAAAAATTAATCTCGATGAGTTCGTCTTTTCTATTACATTAATACAATTAAATTGAAATGAAAAAAAGATAAGGAAAAAAGAAATTTCAATTGAAGAAAATTTTGAGAAAATGAGTAAAAATCTTCTAATAGATATTTGATGTGATAAATAAAATGCACGGATCTTTTAAAGGACAGAAAGTATGAATAGTTTTGCAATACAAAATGAAGAGATTGGATGGGTTCATATCAACTGGTACTTCTCGATTATATCATATTTGGAAACTTATCGTCAGCATATTGTTATCATTTTCTTATTCACTGCAATTAATTTATTATTATTTTTTGAACGTTTTTGGCGTAAGTTCTTCGCTTTTTTTTGTTGTTATTTAAAATTAATAAATTGAATAATAATGCTATTATTTTGCTTTCTATAGTTTTTTTTAATAATATTAATTCAAATTTATAGATTATCGATATGAAACGGAACATCGTGACTTACGACGTGTTATGGGTATGGGTATAGCAATTACACGTGGTGCTGCTGCGTCGTTATCATTTTGTATGGGACTGATTTTGATTACAGTTTGTCAAAATATTATTACATTATTACGTGAAACGTTAATTCGTGAGTATGTACCGCTTGATTCAGCGATAGCATTTCATAAAATTGTCGCAGTAGTAGCTGGCTTCTGGGCTACGGTACATATCGTTGGACATTGTGTTAATTTCTATCACGTTGCAACACAAAGTCAAGATGGCTTACAATGCCTCTTTCAAGAAGCTGTTTTTGGGTAAATCCTTTTTGAGTTAATTTATAAATGTATGTGTTGTAAAATTTGTTTTTAATAATTTGCTTGATTTTGAATAAGTACTTTTTGAAAGTTTTTGACACGAAAAATTTTTTAATACTATTTTAATAAATTAATTTTAGTTCAAATTTCTTACCCTCAATCAGTTATTGGTTTTATGGTACCATAACTGGAATAACCGGAATTCTATTGGTAGCTCTTATGAGTATCACTTATGTATTTTCAACACCAGCTGTCATGAAGGAAGCATATCATGCTTTTAAAATCACTCATCTTCTCAATATTCTAATTTATGCACTCACTGTACTCCATGGGCTTCCAAAACTTTTGGATGTCAGTTTGGAATTGAAATTTTTCCTTAAGTTACAAAATTTTTTCGAATAATTTTACAGGCAATAAAGCAAAGTGATCTTGCACGCTGAAAGAGTTAATTAATTAAGGACGAAATAATTTAACAATAATTCAATCAGGAAAGTTAAGACGAATTAAATATCTATCAAATTATCATTAGGCTGATATTAAAATTTTTTTTTGATAGTAATAAAATGCGTACAATTGCAAATACTATAATAAATATTGAAGCATTTCTTATAATTCGCTTATGTTTCATTATTATCTGTAAAACGCTGCACAATGATTTTTTTTTACATTTCGATTTAATATACTAAAAAATTTTCCAACGTTTAATAAATTTTAATTTCAGAGTCCCAAATTTTTATATTATGTAGGTGGTCCAATTATTCTATTTGTAATTGATCGCATCATTGGTATGCGACAACAGTACAAAAGGTTGCAAATTCTGAATGGTGCAATACTTCCGTCAGGTATGTTTCAGGAAGTTTTAATAGGCATTGTACTGATGAAAAAAGGGATGAGCTGGGAAATCATAATACTGGTGAATAAAATTTTTTAAACTCGCTGCCTATTTTTTTAGCAGTTCTTTGAGAAATAATACAAAACGGAGCAGTTAGATTTAGGTGAAATTAGTTTTGAACTTATACATTAGTTAAAACTGCATAATTTATGAGTAAATCAAGTTGAGCCTTTTATCCTGTAAAGTAAAATTACAAATTAAGGTTTGTTCAAAATCAGTATAATACAGATATCTTTATACTAATAAGTGTAATAATGAATAAAATTAAAACAGACTAATTAACTGATAAATGTCGAAGGAATGGATTAACAGAGTAGATGCCAAACAATTGATCAGTTGATAGAATAGAAGCATTTGCTGCAATTGGATAAATTTCAGAGTTAAAATAGGAAATGATTTCAATTTAAATGATTTTCAATGATTCTGGCTTGAAAAAATTTCCAAATTCCAATTAAAGTATGGAACAAATGATAAGAGAAATTAAGTTGTTGTTGGAAGTATGAAGAAACGTTTCACCAAATCCTATTTGTGATGGATTATTTAATTTCTTTATCAGCTATTTTTCTTATATATATGTCATTAGTTAAAATTTTAAACTTCAAATTTGATGAAATAAATATATTTTACAGATATAATCTACATTCAATTCAAAAGACCAAATTCATTCCGATTTCGTTCTGGTCAATGGGTGCGTGTCTCATGTCCAGCATTTTCATGTACCTTTAATGAACTTCATGCATTTTCCTTAGCCTCTGCACCGCAAGCATCAACGCTTGAATTGTACATCAAAGCGATTGGTCCATGGACTTGGAATTTACGAAATCAGATCGCATGCGCACATTCCAACGGAACGCCCTATCCGGTACTTCATTTGCATGGGCCATATGGTGATGGCAATCAGGTATGTCTTATTAAATTTGTCATAATATAAAATGAATAACTTCATTTTAGCAAGGCTGTAATTAATAAAGTAAGATGAAATAATGTATTATTTAAAATTGAAGTAAAGCAAGTATTCAAATAGAATATGATTTAGGATTGGCGTAATTTTGAAATTGCTGTGCTAATAGGTGGCGGTATTGGTGTAACTCCGTATGCTTCAATACTGACTGATCTTGTCATCGAAAAAATGTCCGGTCAACATACAAATATTAAGTGTGAAAAGGCTTGTTTTTCTTTTAAATTTTATATATGACCTTGCAAAATTTTTTATTTTAATCTTAAAAGAAATGAAAAAGTAAATATAAAATATTTTTGGTGTGGCGCAATGGAGGCTTATATAATTCTGAAATTTCTCAGGAGATGAATTCTTTGGGGAAAATTTGTCCATAGCAGAAAGTTAGGAAATGAAATAAAATATAGTTGGTATACCATAATGTTCATTTTTTTTTAATTTTTAAAACTAATGTGATAATTAAAGGATTGGTTACAGTAAATTTATCACTTATTACAAGATAAGTCGCTTACAATTGAGAGATGTAACATTTTAGGTTTACTTCATTTGGGTATGCTCAACACATAAGAATTATGAATGGTTCATTGAAGTTTTACGTAGTGTGGAAGAATCGGACAAAGAAGATTTGTTGGAAATACATATTTTTGTCACACAATTCTTTCATAAGTTTGACCTTCGAACTACCATGCTTGTACGATATGCTATTTGTCTTTCTTTAAATAATTTCAGAGCGAGGGAATGTGAATTATTTTCATAATCTTCAAAATTTCCAAATATTTTTTTGCTATGTCTACTATTTTATTGAGCATATTTAATTTCAGTACATTTGTGAGAAGCATTTTCGAAGTGATAGCAATGGCCGAAGTATGTTTACAGGCCTTAATGCTGTAAATCATTTCGGTCGTCCAAATTTTGAAGCACTCTTCAAATTCATACAAAATAAGCACAGAAATGTAAGCTTTTTGACATCTCATAATATGCATCACCGAAATCGATCTGTCGTAAATTAAAATGCAATCGATCGGATAAATATTAATTTGAGACGATTAATCATCGGATATTTTCTTAGTATTTTAGGTAAGGAGGGCTAATCAAAATTTGTTTTTTGAGTCAAATCTGTTTTAATTTGCCTTTTTTCAAATTTAAATCTCACAGCTATTTCTTTTTTTTTCTTGTAGATTCAAGAAGTTGGCGTATTCAGTTGTGGACCGAATTCAATCAATAAAGAAATTGGAAAAGCATGCAGAGAAACTAATAGGATTCGAAGTGGAGCATTATTTTGTCACCGATTTGAAACATTTTAATCATAACGTTCAAATGAAGAAAGATCTGTCTGTGATAATTTGCTCATATTCAAAATTCAATTTAATTCGAATCTACTGATGATTATTTTTAATCAGCTTATTTTAATGAGGTCACTTCATTCATCACTTTACTGCTAGTTATTTCAATGACATTTCGCTTCAACACAAATTAATAATTTTGATATTTCACATTTCTTCGCTACATTTTATATTTCATCTTTCCAGAAGTTAATCCTATCTTATTCATTATTGTATATAAACAAACGAAACTTTCACGGCTCTTCGATCTCAGTTTGTCTTTCACTGATCTTCCTAACTTCTCCGCTAAAATCGTAGCAGTAGTTATTATTCACTTTATTGTTTTTTTTTTCACTTCTCATCTTAATTTCATTGATATTTTGTAAGAAATTTATTTTAAGCTTCGGAATTTCCCAGAAAACTTTTTATACCTAGAGAAGTCCTATCTGCTTAATTTATATCACTGCCCGGAGCTCTTCTAGAACTTAATTTAGATGCAAAAATCAAGAAATTTTGAAAATGAAGAATCTGCAAAAACATCAATTTTTTACGCACTTATCTGTTTCTTTATCCAACAGAATTTTCAATTTAGTTGCTTTCTTCTAATTCTCCATTTATCATTGTTTAGTAAGCATGAAAGCTACTGGTGACTATCGGTCTCAAAACATATCAAATTGCCGAATAGTAAGCCCTTCAAAAAAAGTATAAAGAGCTGGAATCATAGTAAATGCGGATAATGGATTAAGATTATACTTGAAGCTGATCTAATATCAACATCATTAAATTAATTGATTATTTATCTATCTTTATCACTAATTGCTACTCCTCCAGGTGAAATTATCAAAATTTCATTCAAAAAGAAAAAACAAGAAACATCTGCTAATTTTTTGCTGGTAAATTTTGCTAGTCAAGAAATATATTTAAAATTTTGCTAATCAAGAAACAGTTCTAGTGTTTCTTTACAACGCTTACAGTATCCAATAAAATTTTCGTATGATCAATGAAATGATCTGAATTACCTCTATAATACTACTTCCATCAATCATTGAAACATCGCTTGATTGACATATTTTAGATCTTGTAAATTCCATGGAATTTCTGACCATCTTTCATTATTTCAATTTGTCGATACTTTCAAAAACTTTCAAATTGCATTTTTAATATGATGACAACGTATTATACCATATGACAACTTTATTTAATAATTGAATTTCAATGCGGTTGCAGGTAACAGGATAATTTGTAACATTATCTATTCGTTTGATTATGCTTATTAATTGAAATAGCTTGATCATAATGCATATCCATACAGATTATCAATCCATCAATATCATATGGAATAGTATTGTTGTTTAATATATTTATTGTAATTCAATTAAAATAAAATTTCATGCCAAGATAAAAGCTGTTAAAAAGGCCCATATTGAGGAGCGGCTTTCAAAACCACTTGGATTGGTGAAAAATTCAAATTTTAAAGGTTAATTTGGGCTTATGGAACGATGACAATTTAAGGAATGCTATTTTGTAATAGAATGAAGCATTATCTATGAAATGGGCTTGATGTTACCCAGCATTTTGCTAAGGCTCTTTTTGAAGAATAAAAGTTACTGTAAAGTGTGAGCATTTCAAAACTCGATTATTGATAATGAGGTCAGTCTTATGGATCAAATAGTACTATCTCGGAATTTTTATTTCATTAAGATATGCTCGATAGAAAATTCTTTAATTTAATTTGGAGTTATTACTCAGTAACAGTTATTACTCAAATAAATTAATTAAAGGAACTGATAAACAATGTGTATTAATGCGAAATAAATGTATAATAGAAAGACGGAGAATTCACACGTTTAGAAAAGGTTTATCAGGCAAATCCAAATATCATGAAAGTGTGAAACCTTCAAAAAATCATGTGAGTGTCTTTTTTTTGGCGGCAATGATCAGATGTCCTCGTTTGGTCAAATTTGATTTGACAGTTTTCATGTCTACATCCGATGGAAGCTTATAGGTACGATTAATTTCACGTTTAACTTCACCATATTGATCGGCACGTGATTCATGTCTGCAGTGAATGACCAAACTGTCGCCAGCAACTTTCACCTAGAATTTATACTCCATATAAGAGTGCAAATCAAATCTTGGCCATTGAGTATCATCGCTCGATGAAAAACGATGTTCAAACTTTCATCATTTACTCCCTCTATGTTGAAAAGTTTCTCAGCATTCACAACAACAAATCATAATTAGTTAAAGAAATAAAGAGATAAGCCTGAATAAGCATTTAAAATGCCTGTAAATAAATTTGAAATTATTAGAGTAATAAAAGGAGATATTCACATAAGACAGTTAAATAAGTAAAAAATTGTAGAAGAAATTTCATTTCCAAATTTATTCGGAATTCTCTATTTCTACCGTCACATCGATATGACAAAATGATCTGAAAAATTTTGTGAAGATTTTTTCTTCTCGCTCTTTCTTTCTCATTTGTATCAATTCTCTTTTCATTCTAAATTTTTTTTCTTCCATTTCTGAAATTAATCACATATCCCTTCCTTCTCCCAAATGTCCACAACCGACTTGTTATTTTTTTGATAGCTACTATGAAGTTGTATGAAGGATTAATTAATCATCAAAAAAGTGTCTAAATCAATCTAAAGTATAAATCTCAAACAAATTATTCAATTTAAACCTCAATTTCCTTCGGCGAGAAGAATGATGCATCCAAGCCAACTTCAAACTTATCATTCGTATTGATCACTTTAATCACTTCATCATTGTGCTGTAAAGGCCAATCCCATTGGTCGGCACTCCAATTATGTGTTAATTCAATTACCTTTTCTTCCATCCCTTAATTTCTGTGATCTATTTCAATAGCTTCATTTCACGTTGAAAAATAGAATGAAATGCAAAAAAAGCATAAGAAGTAAAATGATCTCAGAGAAATGTTGAAGTACATTATGTCGAAAATACATTTATAAATCAGACAAGTTAAAAACTAATATCTGATAAAGATATTCTTAAGTCTCTCGTAGATAATATATTACTTTATCTAAATCATAGTAAAGCTATTAAAACCATCACCGAGGCATGTTATTTGAGGAAAAACTAGGCATTATAATATCAATATTCTTAGATATAATTGATAATAATGAGTGAAATCAATGCACTATTAATAATTTTAGAATTAAAGCAAGGTGATTTTATTATCTCTTTGAGGTTTCTTTGCAATCGTATATTCAATAGCTTAGGCTTATTTCATTCTCAATTCAAAAAATGAATTCAGAATAAATAAGAAAGCTGATAAGATAAACAATGTTAGTGATTAATAAAATGTTTAACTGGTTACTGATAATGCGATCAGGTTGAAACAGTGTTAGTGGAATTAGTAAGTGTGTCACTTAACTGTTAGGCTATCAGAAAATGAAGCTAAACAAGTAGTGGTGAAATGAAATTAAAAGTGAAATTTAAGCTAACATTTGCTCTCATTTCACAATACAAACTTCAGCTACATTTCCACAGTTGTTCCATTAAAAAATAACAGAATCACTCACTCATTCATACATCTCTCATTGTAATCTCACGTATAAAAAAAAAGGAAAACGAAATAAAAAACGAAAAATAAAAAATGAAATTAAAAAAATGAAAAAATAGAGTGAAGAAAGGAACGAAAAATAGAAAAATAAAATGAGGGAAAGAACGAAAAATAAAAGAGTGAAATGAAAAAAATGGAAAAAACTGGAAACTAAAAAAATGAGATGGAGAAAAGAATTAATCGATAATTGATTTAATCAGAATTAAAATATCTGTCTGTCAGATATATTTGGTTAAAGTGCAAAAGAATGCAAGCATACTGCTACTTCTTAATTTGCAATAAACCTTTAACAACAATTAATGGGATATTTTTGCAAAACTACAAATATATGAATTGAATGGTAAAATGAAATCAAAAATGACGTCATATTTTTGTAAAAATAAAAATATTTACTCTGGAAATTAAAAATGAATCCGTATTTAGAAAGAAAGAATTGAACTGTAATGAAGAGAGTATTTATGCTGAAAACAAATAATAGTAAATAAATAAAGGGCGAGAGAGAGAAAGGTAGGGAGAGGAGGCGATAATGGACATAGGTAAGAAAGGATGAAATTTATAGCACTCAATTTCAACCCATCCATCCTCCAATCTTGTCTGTTCTAAACTATTTCTTCAAGATACTAACTGATGTGTAAAATTCTGATTGGTATTCTTAAAAAAAAAAAACAAACAAAAAAACAAACAGGAAATATTTTCTTATGTAATATTGAGAAAGAGGAATAGAAGAGTGGCAGGAATAGAATTTAAGCTCAACTTTTTAATCTTAAGTGCCCTTAGACACAATATTTTTTTGTCGTAATATACATGCTATATTTATATAACATAAACAGACTTTAGCAAGCATCAATTCTACCTTTGTTTTTAATCCTCTTATTTCCATTCTGCTTTCTTTCTTTCCATCAATGATGAATTGTCAGCAGTGATGAAGTATTTATAAAATTGTAAGTTTGGATCAATCTAGAATTTCTTCTGGAAAAAATCATTTCTGGAATTTCAGCTACCATCATTTAATTAATATTTAATTAACAATGGAATTTCAACTACAACTATTATTATTATTTAATTAATTTATCATTATTTAGTTAATCGGATCCTGCAAAAGATTTCATGTCAATGATGAATTTCAACAAACATCTCCGTTTTCACCGCTAAGCATGCTTCCTCAAATTCTGTCAATATCACCTGACGATATGTATGACGTATTTCGAGTGAAATTCTCCGATATTAATTGAGACTTCTCTTCTCTATAATATTTAGTTAGGAAACGAACAAACAAGAAAAAGCTACCAAACAGTTATCAGATGAGCTAATCACGTTTGTCCATGATTTGCAAGATAATCAACTAATCACTCCAGCACTTGTGCTAGCAAAAATTTGTCGCATATGCCCGTGA